TTTATGCGCGGGCATAAGCATCGAAATTATTTGAAGATGTTTGTCACCCAAAGCAAGCATGACACATAATCAATGTTAAAACCTCCTATGCTCGTCGGAATTGCCGCTGCAGCACCGACAACTTAGCATCAGACCAGGGTGTACCAGCGTCAGACTCTGGCTGTGGTAGTTTTGGAATGTCGAACTTGACGCGGGCACCTTTGCCAATAGCCAAAGCGTCCTGCACCACAGCCGCTACAGCTGGAGTTAGCCCGTTATTCGACGCTTTGGGCGTAGGTAGTCGTGAATTCGAGTTGCTCGTTCCTAGTGGCGATTTCTTTGAGAATTTTAGCACGGAAGTAGGAGAAGCCCAGTCCGGTAATCCATTCAGGGCTCCAGCATCGCTCGCCATCTGCCACTTCATGCGCAGCGAACGGAGCTCGGCGGAGAGCTGCTTGTTCTCTTTTCGCGCAGATGAACGTGTCCAGTCCAGTTTATTGCGAATGTCGATGAACTTCTCGTCCATGAGGCGGAGCTGATCCTCCAAAATGCGTGCGCCTTGCTCGAGCTCGGTCACTTTTGCGTCCTGTGCAGCATTCTTTCGAGTCGCAGAGGTCAATTTATCCTTCGTTTCGAGTAGCTCCTTCTCCACACGACGCTGGGCCTCCACTGCGCGAGTTTTCGCCGCTGCTTCGTGCTTCAAGTGCACCATTAGCTTCTCTACATGCTCCGAAAGAGCTGCAACTTTCTCGCTCAGCTCTTTGTTGGCTTGTTCACTCTTCGCACGCAGCTCCTTCTCGACACGTTCACGACCCACCGTTTCGACCACTTTTTCGCGCATGCTTTGCAGGTCGCGAAGTCCATTTTGAGCAGTGTCCAGCTCGCTTTCGAGTCGTTCGGTGCGCTCAATTAGCCGCTTATTTCGGCTTCGAAGCACTCGCATTTCACGTTCCAAACGTCCCACACCGCCAAGGCCAAGTGCGTCTAATGCTGAGAAGCTCTCGACGTTAGGTAAGTGACACGATGATGGCCCCATGTCTTGGTCGTCGTCCGTCGTGGGATCAAAGGTCGATGAAGCTCCAGCGAGCTGCCATTCATGCTCAAACGTCTTCAGACGCAAACGTACCAGTTCTTCAAGCTTAACATGCTGGTACAGCGAGTCATCCACTCCTGTGTCTTGACTGGTGAGCGTGGGGTCCAGACCAATTCCACGAAGTAGAACGCGACGCACCTTGCCAACTTCATCTCGAAGTTGTGTCAGCTCGGACCGAGATTTATCAAAAAGGCCCGCCATACGAAGATGCTTTTCACCTTGCTGTACTAGCTGCTCGGATTTGACGAAAACCTCCTGCTGAAGTCCTCGAATTCGTGCAGCGTAATCGTTTCCGGAGCCTATGACCGACAGCAAACCTACCTCATCTTCTAGCTCTTTGACGTGTGCGTTGACCTCGTCAAGTTTCTCCTGTTTCTCGTTAATCTGTTGCTCAGCACGACGTAGCAATGCACTTTGGTTTGCTTCGCGCACGCTTTCGCCCGCAGAGGCTGCCTTCAGCTGGCTTTCTAGACTTGCAACTTGTGTCTGCAACTCCTCTATTTTGCACGCAGTATCTTTCAGCTCCTGTTGCTTTGTAGCAAGATCGTCTTCGTGAGCCTTTTGAGCGTCATATTGGGTCTGCTGGAGTTGATCATACTGAACTCGAAGCGTGTCGTACTCAGCACTGAGCTGAGCAAAGCGATCATCGCGTTCATCTAGCTGTCGTTGGAGTTCTGCCTCTTGCTCTTCGTGAGCAGCATCCGAGGCACGAAGTCGCTCAAGCTCTGCAAGATCATTCGCCATCTGTGTCGTGCAGCTCTTGACGCTTTCCTCTAGCTGAGCTATCTGCTCTTCCAGTTGGGCCTTCTCATCTCCGAATTGCTCCTCCGCGTACCTTCTTGTCTCCTCGATCTGCTCCTCTGCGAATCGCTTTGCTTCGTCCAAGGCTGCGTAGCTCTCACGCCACTGACCATTTTCCTCCGTTATGGCCTCAACTGTTTGAGTTAGTTCAGCAGTTCGCCGTCGCTCCTGCTCCACAGCGACCTGCATCTGCGCCTTCTCATGTGCGTGTTCTCGGTAAAGCTCGTCATTAGCTAGTCGTAGCTCGGCAATCTCCTCCTCAAGTGGTTTCGATGCCATGGATGTTAGAAGGCGTTGTTGCTACAGAATACAAGTGGACTCAACGTCCGGCGAGACTCGCAAACAGTTCTTTCGAAAATAGACTGAGAACTATTTTGTTTGTTGCATCTCCCCTATGTGTGACTTGTTGATCTGCTGGCCATTTCGCCAAGAGTTTGCAATTGCAGATCAGTGTCCAGCCACGCTTTGTTCGCTTTGGTATCTGCATCCACTATTTTCAATGCTGCGTTGAGTTCTTGAAGAATATCGCGCACCTACACAAATATCAAGTTAAACACATCAATTTCCAGACGGCTCAAAGTCTTCACATCGACGTGAACTTACATATCCAAGGTGAATTAATCGATCACTTCCAACCCTTGCCAAGCTGTTGTCGTCTGGATCTTCTCTTTCTTCAAGAAGCTGACTTGCTTTGGCGTACAACAGCTCGCGAAACTCCACGTAATTGATGCCAGTGTTCGCTAGCATAACCAGTTGGCACTGGTCACCAAACTCACGTCCGACCAGTCCCATTTCCTTTAGGTCTTCTAGCTCACGCTCCACGGCGGCGTACTCACGCTTAAAGAATTTCCACATCTCTCGGACGTTGTACCCGTTAAACCAGTTGTGGTTGATCGAGATCGTGTCTTCAAGATTCTCGACTTGATGGTACCATCCGCTTGGAACAAAAATCGCATCACCAGTTTCTTGGACGACATGGATTGGCTTTGCTTCATGAAATTGGGGATATTGCTCCGTGTCAATCTTCCCAATTGTCACGTCAGGGACGACAAAGCGACCGAAGCGATCTTTGAGTTTGGGTTCCTACTTCGCAATAACAACCGACAACGTTAGATAATATTTAGCTAACACATGATGTAGCAGAGAGTTAACTGGCAACACGACACGTACATCATCTGGGTGGTAAAATACCCACTTCTTGCGGCCGCACACATTTACCGACCAGCTAAAATATGACACAATTTGGTCCATTATATACTCCGTGTGTCGTACCGAACACGATAAAAAAAATCCATACCTGTACGAGCGGAATACATCATGGTGTAGCGGTGTCCAGCTTCCAGCGGGGCCTAATGAATGCAACGAAACCAATGTGAGCGCGTAGGATCGGGTACACTGGACGTGTCAGCACAAACTCACCAAGATACACGAACCGGTAGTCGCTGTCGCTCTTCTCCTTGTGGTCCCACCACCTGTGACAGCAGTTGGAAATGGCAAACTTGTAAGTCCTCTTCTCATTCTTGTAACTCAAGTATAATGAACAAACATACCAATTTAACCAGTCATCCTTGAAAAAAGGTGGTGTTCTGCAATCATTCACGTCAAATGTTATGTTAGCAAGTTTATCAAATACTCGTTTTTTGCCGAAACGCACACGTAACTGTCGTGACCGAAGGCGTGAACGAAGTGCCAGTCCTTGAGGTACTTCTTCCCCGCCATTTTGCTCTCAACTAGGTCCAAATACTCATCTACGCCGCATCAACAACCTGATATCAGTAAGTCCTAGTAGTTGATGCATTCTAGCTCCTCACCTAGTCTCATTGTCCATCGATTCTCAGCTCCGTACTCCGCCACATCGCCACTCACCACCTAATTGACATGTCCTTTGAGATCGCGAATTATGCCTAGGACTTGTATGCACCTCCTACCGGTGCCAATGCAGCGCCGTAGTGTTCCTTCAAATACTTAAAGTTGATTTTTCGCCCATCACGCCAGTGCCTCGCCTTGGAGAACCACGTATCCGTGACGTTTCGCAGCAGTACGGGCCGGTTAAGCGTCATATAACGGGCGCAAAAGGCCTCGTAGCTTAACGTCGTTGCATCCTCCACGTCCATCGCTCACGCTAGTCAATGGTGAGAATCAGAACGAAGTACTCAGAAATAGTCGTTTCAAATTAGAAAGATCAAAAACGTTTCAGAAACGTTTCAATTTCAAATTCAGATAATAATCTGTCGCATTGTTGAAGTGTTCCGTCGCCGACGCCAGTGGCAGGTTGCCGTAACACCCATCGACGCTCTTGTTGTCTCTGCTGAAGGTGTCACTTCATCTTTTTCTCAGTCTCTCGCAGACTGAGCCTTCTTCTCTTCACACGAGACTATAACCTTTACGCCAAATGTTGGCGTCCCAAGTCAACGACTCTACTCTACCATCCGGCAGCTCAAATGGTGGCGGCGACACGGTTATTGCGCAGTATCTGGCGACCAAAGTGAGCTGGTGGGCCTCGTACCCTCGCATCCTCGTGGTTACTGCCTCCACGCTGAGCACGTACAACCCAGAAACGTTCCGGTGCACCAACCAGTGGGAGATCGCCGACATCGACGATGCCGAGCTGTCCCCAACCAACAACCATTTTGTGCTCAGACTCGAGAAGTCGCGCTTCCGCTCAGCCAAGATAAAGTTTGTATGCCCTGCACGAGGCCATCTGCTGTCGCTTTTGGCTCGCTTGCGTCGTCAAGCTCTAGGAAAGCCACTGCTGTATCGACTCGTGAATACTCGGAGACTCCACTACCGATGCATTGAGAAATACGCCGATGGGTCACACCAGCTGCTGTTCATACAGGTGGCAGTGTCCAGCATCATCTTCTTGGATGAATGCGGTCGTCGGGTGCAGATCCAGCCACTCCTGTATTTAAATCTGGCGGCCTTCTCGAGTGAACATCCCGAAGGTATGGTGTTGTCCACAGCTTTCCATGATCGGTTCTTCCTTTGTCCTGAGAGACACGAGTGTCTGAATGAGATCGTGGCTGCCGCTCAAGACGCGGGAGTGGAGCTGTACAAGACGTCGACGCACATCACGGCGCTGCAGCTTCACCTCCACAATACGCAGGTGCTGGATCGTGCCTCGGTCATCCGATTCGACGTGAAGAAGATCAGAGATACGGAGAAAAACGGTGATGCAGCGCCTGAAAGTGATGGCAGTGATGGTGGCAAGAAGGCGTTTAATGAGATCCAGCTGGTTCTGCAAGGTGATGCAATCGTGGAGATGCACCGCTCCAAGCGCACTGTCATCGCACGTCCGTACAGCGCGCTGCTAGCGATTGTTCGCCCGGATTGGGATCCACGAACGCTTATACTGGAGTTCAAGCAAGAGGATACGCTGGTTCTTGATCTAGATGCTCGCGATCAGCTTGTCACTTTGCTTTTGCTGGTGTGTCGAGAAGCAGGGAAGCACAACGTCGTCCTTATCTCCTCGGGTCTTAACTATTGCCGGTTCTACCATCCGCACACTGCTGACACCGCTAGTACCGACAGCAGTATTGCTGGTATGTCGTTGACAACGTTCCTGCTGAGACGCATTACGCAAACAAGCGCTCGCCCCGAAGATTGCACCGGCGGAAGAAGCCGAGGCAGCAGTGTGTGGTCTCCCCGCAGACGACGCGGTGCCAGTGTATCGACACCAAGAGCTTCTCAAGGCTCAAGTGGGCGTGGATGGTTCCAGCGGCGAATCAAGGACAAGCGCATGTCAGTGCCTGTATACGAAATGCGCAACTCCATCGACTCGGACCTGTCCATGAACGAAGGTCTGGGCATCGTCATCGCGATGGAGGAGCTCAATGCCAATCTCCCACTTGAAGAACTCACGCAAAGTGGACCCGGCCAAGATGATGTGGTTAACTTGGCCATGGAGCTTGTATTCGGACATCTCGTAACGCTGGTAGCGACACTGCGACGGTACGGAGACACCACCAGCTCGGAGCTCATCACTTCTCTGCAAGCACTTGTGCGCTTGTATCACCATCCAGAAGCATGCTTCACAGACGACACGGTACGTCCTCCTTGTGCTTTTGTGTAATTCCTGTACTGACCATGTTGCGTTGATAGATTCTTCAAGTGTTTGACACTTTACACGAACTTGTATTGCAGCAAGACGTTCTCGTTTGCTACTGGTGTCTCAGACTGCTGCAGTGCTTCTTGGGCGTCCGAACTCCAAACACTGTTCTTGATTCCAATCCAGCTGGCGACCAGCGGGCCAAGATGATTCAGCACTTTATCCAGCACGGGACACTTCAGCATGCCATTGTCGATCTCATCCCTGCCTCATTTGCTGCCTCAAATGACTCATCATACATGGCAACCTCGTCCAGTGTCGGACGAGCGTTCTGGACAGTAGATCCAGAGGTAGAACGTGGCCCCCCATCGAGCCTCTCGTCAAATCAGTCCTCCGTTCTGTTTGCCATGGAAGCTCGAGTGCAGAACCAGATCAATGTGATATTTTACGAAACGTTGCTCACGCTCCAGCACTTGTTGGTGTGTCTGCGAAGTGCAGCGAAAGAGCAGCGAGTGGCACGTGATCGTCAGAATTATCTCGCGGTGGGCAACCGACAAAAGCTTCAAACCCACGACGTGCCAGCTGAAAAACAGACAGATGCACTGGCAGGTCAGCTTCTGGAAAAACACCGATTCCTGATGGATTCTATTGTCGACGTCCGCCTGGTACGCATGGCCGAGACATCGGTGGCACTTATGAAGTTCGTGCTGAGCCACTTTGCGACCAAAATCACAGCTGATCAGCTTCAAAGGGCACAAAATAGCAACCAACTCTCACATTCTAGTGGTGAAGAAATGCGAAAGAAGCGGTTGGGCGATCTTGGATCATTTCTCGATTACTATCATGCCGTTATTGAGGGAAGGATGGATACTCCGTCACTGTTGTTTGGTACCGAGAGGACGATTGAGATGCCAGTCGGACCTTTTAGCAATGGCACTAGCGAGTCCACAAATGCAGCAATGGAGAGGCTGCTCAACCCGGGTGCCACGAATCGTCTGGGTACGGTTATGTCGAAGGGGTCCATGAGACTTGAACACCTTAATCCGAGCGAGCCACCGACTTCAATTCGTGATGAAAGCTTCCTGATACCATTGAAACCAGAATCCGCCATAGAATCATTGGAAAAGAAGCTATACAAGAACCCGCGTGAGAGAATAAATGCTGGCATGGTACCATCAAAGCAGCAAGCCGAGCACGATGTCAGTGACAGCTTTGCTTCCAGTAGCAGCAACCAAGTGTATCAATCATCTGAGCCGGAGACAAGTCCCATAACGTCAATCCGTAGTGCTGTCGTTCTCAAAGACGACAATGAAGAAGATAGTGTCGATCTGCTACTGAGCAGTGATCATGTCCCCACCGCTGCTCAATCTCCACGGGCCACACGCAAACCTCTTCAGGTATCAGTTGGAGCACGTCGAACAGCGAATGAATGCGACGCATGCATTGGATGCAACGACGTGTGCACGAATGAGCGTTGCTTCTTCTGCGCTGAAAAGGAATACCAACTCAAAGTCACATTTGCCGGGTCTGCGGTGTCTACTGGACAAACACTGCGTCAAACAGCATGGAAACATCGTGAGCCGTCGTCAATCGACAGCTCTTCCAGCATTGAACGCGAGTTATCTTCCTGCGAGATGAAGCGGCACCAAAGCGAGCACTCATGCTGGATCCGCGCCAACGACAGTGTTTTTGACGTGACAGAATTGCTCAGTGTACATCCTGGTGGAGCGCGAGTACTTCTGGAAGCTGCTCAGCACGGCGAAGATTGCAGCGCGATCATGAAACAGCACCCGCCAGCAGCGCTGGAAATGATGATGCAGTATCGTCTAGGACGATACTACGAGTGCAGCAAGCCTTGAAAGAAATATCAAAAGCCTAGCACGTGCAATTCTTGATAAATTTGCTTTGTTGTAGCCCACGCAGTGAATAACACTTCCATAATTTTGGCTTCACTTTTCTGTGTTCGAAGCACTGATTACTTGCTGGTCTTCAGCTTCTGCAGTGAGCGAAGTGTTGTCTTCGCCATAATAGACGTCAATTGAGTAGCAATTGCTTCGAGCGTTTCCACATGACCAGAACATTGCTGCGGGTATTTCGAAATCAAAGTAAAGATGACCGTGGCGAATTTCAGCGATCCTCGAACCTGTTCAGCTTCTGGACGCTCTAAAACTGCCTCACAAGCTCCAACAAGCCGTTCTATCGTCAACACTGACAGCACTGGCTTCGTGTTGAGAACGTTCTGGAACACCAATAGTGCTGATTCATTTGACAGCAAATGTGGGTGCAGATTGTCGTTGGCGGTCACAGCTTCCAAGCTTTTTAGGAGAAATCCATCCAGCTGATCTGCTGGTACAGTATCTAGGCTGCGCAGAATTCGTGTTATTGCTTCCGCCTGTGGTGGACCAACAGCATCGCATTCGCCACCGACCAAAAGAGGGAGCAACAGTGAGTCAACAAGGGTACCGGCATAACTGGAGCCGAAGCGAAGTGCCGTCTGAAGCAGCACACGAGAAATAACCGAATCGGCAGCACGTATCTTGGGCAGCACGCTGGTTTCAAGAAAGATCGCTGCGTAGCGTGAGCTCCAGTTGGAATCGACTAGCGCACTGTCCACCAAGACAGCGAATGCATGCAGCGTTAGTACACAATGCACTCAGCATGGGAATCGATACATTCCTGGTGATCTGAAGGAGAGCTTCGTCGCTGGTAGAGTCCACACGTAGCATCTTGCATAGATACTGGAAGCTGCGTTCGTTAGCTGCATACGTAGTATGGACATCATTAACCACTTCAGCAAGCATATCAAAGGCACGTGTAGCGACATCGTCCACCGCCGCAGTTGCTTCTGAGCGTGAAAGCAGCACGAGCTGCTTGGCCACGCCAGACGCGCGCTCCTCCATCTGACATAATACACAGCAGGTTAACGCAAACTGAGTGTGCCTTGCCTGCAGCTGAATATCCTACGAACCTCTTTCGTTAGTGGCGGTCGTTCTGGCGCCGTAGCACCGGCTTCTAAAGCTGGTGAGCGATTTTTTGAACTCTGCTCCCTATCGAGGTCTTCGGGTGTCTCTCCTCGTGACCGCTTATTCCCTCGATATGAATTCGCTCTAGCAGTCTGGAGTATATCACTACGACCTCCAGTCGGCAGCGACTTGTACACTTCGTCGTCCTCGTCTTCCTGTGAAGGAAACATTACGCGATTTAACGTCAAACGCCGCATCCGGCGTCGGAACGCAGCGTCCATGGTGGTTTTCTGCTCTTCGCATGCTTCGTCTCTCAGTACCATCTTTGCCAGTGACATACACACAGTGTCAGTCTCACGACGTCGTGGCTTTACTGCGACCCGAAGGAAGGCTCGTGCTAGCTGTTCAGCGACGTCTCCGCTCGGAGACGCGCCGCTCACCAACGCACTCCAAATCTCGCGCTGTACTATCAGAGGCAGTTGTTCCATGCGGATGCCAAAGTCTGGAGCTGCTTCACCCTCGGCGTCTTCTCCATCGTTCAATAAAACAGGTCCGCTAAGCTCCTGTAAGATGGCCGGAGCCACTTGTCGATGCTCTGCATGCACAAAGATTATAAAGATGCTGCCAATGCAGCGGGAGGGGGCTGTACGTACCTTGCAAATACTCCCGTACACCAGTGGCACCTTTGAGCTGCGCAGTGAAAGCCAGGAATTGGACTCGCTCCATTTTTCGCGCGAAAAGTTGGCGGTTGATTTGAAATGGTCAAAACAGATGATCTATTTCTTATTAATACTTCTACTTCCTAAATCTGTCCATCTAAATGCCCTCCTTACTTTCCTGATGGACGAAGGCCATCGAACAGGGACGGGAAGCCTGCGCTGTGCTTGGAGGCGAAGCGGATGTTCGGCCGGATCGCCAACTCCTCATTGTCGTTCTTTGGACTGCCACTAGCCGATGTTGGACCAGACGATGCCGCTAATGCATTCGTAGTCTCTGAACATGAAGATGACAACGTACCTGCCACAGTTGCCGGCTTACCGGTACTGCTATTACATGTAGAATTTTGCGGCGATACCGTAGTCGTGGGCGCCTTACGAGGAAGCTCATGTCGAAGCGGACATGCTTCTCCCTTAGGACAGTATCCCTTCATGAACTGCTCGCAGAGCTCCGCCGTCGCGCTAACTTTTACGTGGCGGTACTTGCAGCCTTCTCGAGTGCACGCTCCGCGCAGAAACATCTTGCAATCCGGGACTTTATTCTGCACAGAGCCAATAAAAAAAGATACACGACAACAAGTTACGTACACAATCAATAGTTAGAAACACAGTAGCCGCAAGCCTCTCGTCAAGCCGTGCCGAAACCACAGTATGAGCGAGAGTCAGCGTAGCAAAAGCCAATTCGTATCTCCACCTCGTCATGTTGGTGTGACAGCAAGCAGTTGGGGTCGTCGCACTCATTTTTCAGAAACTTCCGACACATCGACACCCGTCGACTGTCGTGAATAAACCTGCATTCCTCTTTGTTCTTGCAGTAACCTAACATTCATTCAGTAGATTAAGCGCACAAATTAGCTGCAGCATTCATAAAAACAAGCAGGCACACACTTGCCGAATCTGTTGTAAAAGGAGCAGTACTCCGTGCGAACTTTGACTGGCTTTTTCGTCTCGAAGCGTTTGTTTCGAGCACGTCGCATAGTGGCTTTAGCTCGGGTGATGCTGGGGTGCAGGAAACGGTGACATTGATCCTATTAAGAAGTATCAGAATTTTATTGTCTAAAAAACCGCTTAGGAAACAATGGTCAAGTTCAATTCGCTTACAGTAGTAATTGTCATCAGCACATATAACTTATTTTTGTTCACACGTCAATCTAACACTATCTATCTTTGTGGATCAAGTGACAACGTTTATAAGCACAGTTTTGCCAGTCTACACGACCGGCTACTGCTGTACATGTAACATGTACGATTTAGCAATACCAGAAACCCACTCAGATAACTTATTAATGCTAATATT